GGGTGAATCTTTTTCAGATGTTGTTGTACATCTAGTGTATCCATGATATAACTGCTGTTAGTAGATTATTACAGTACAATCTACTCAATGACTAACATATGAATGATCAATTATAGTGATTTCTAAATATTAAATTGCATTATTTTGTGTTATACAAAACGTATTTGAGTCATCAATACACTGAACAATATGCAACACAAAGTAATGCTGAGATAAGCAACAGAATGTGAGATAAGCTTGTTGACGCATAAAGTTACTATCAATTCCACTGCAGAAATTCTTGTTGTAATTATTTTTGCTTATTTTTATCCTTATTAAGAATAATGAAAATGTAAGGTGTTCTTACTAAACAACAAATATATGATATGATACAAAAGGAAGTACCTTTTTTTGTTATAGGAGTGGGGGCAAACGAGCATACGGTTCACCTGATGTTAAGTGACTACCGCCGCTCATGAACAACTGCAACTCCAGGGGAAGTGCAGGTGCGTTGCCGGCCTTTGTGAAACGAGTAACCTTTACACCTTATGCTAAACTTTCAGTTTAAATACCAATTTTATTTATAACATATGCATTATAATTAATAATATTTATTTCAGTTTGTGACAACCCTGACTTATAGATATTACATTGCAAATATTAGTTACTTCTTATTTGGTACCCTTAAACCAAATAACAGCCTAACGGCTGAAGTTATTGCACTCCATACATTTAGTATATTCAATTACAGCCCCGCCCCATTAATTCCCTCTAAAAGGAAATAACAAACTTATAAATTTTTTAAAAATTAACATCATTACCATGTCTATAATCATATTCATGCAAGTAACAAAGCCTAAAGATGATATTATGTAAAATAAGCCTAATTTTATTTAGGTTTATTTATTTTAGTTAACTTTTTTATTAACTTATAAGAAAATTAGTACCAACGTGTTTCGATTTTAAATGTAACACCGATACATTTTAACTGTGTGGTAAAATTTGAAATATACTGTCCTCTAATAACGAATAATTTATAAGTTGACAATGTTTATAGTATCGCTAGAAACTAGTAACACTAGAAATTTTTGTAGTAAAAGGCAAAATTAGAGGCGGGGCTGGCATTAGGGGGCAACCCTAGGTTCCTGGAAGAGTTGAAATACGGTAAATTTTATCGACAAATCACTAACCCTATATTTTTTTCTCTCATCATGATGAAATGGCAGCCATTTTTTTTTGCCACGAGGCGCGTGTGCTTGTACTGATTAAGCCATAGAGCTACCCATGTAGAAGTCCTAGGAAAACGAAAGAGGACTCGTTTAATAGCTAATAATGTAGACAATATATCAATGATAACAAATGTGCCGTTTCTTTTTTATAAAAGAGCAAAAGAGAATTTTTAAAACCAACGAAAGTTTTTTTAACACATTTTTTTTTCATTCATTTTCAAGACATTGTCCTAAGCAGTGAACTATAGCCATAGCAGCGATCACAATAGATCTTTTAGGTCGCAGTGATACTGGTGTCTTTACCTAGACCTGCATAGCTGCTCGCACATAATAAAAAAACTGTGGTGGTGGTTTCTTTAAATTCCTCAATCACCGACTGGTACCACACCCATGGGGCATGATGGGAAAATTATTTATTTTTTGTGTTTCCTGTTTCATAGTTTATCTTATTTGAGATGGTAATAACAACATCTTTGCGTTTCGTTCAACTGGTTTGGGCTTCAGTTATGTTAATGATAATTTCATTTGGTGGCTTTTTTAATAGGAGTGACAAAGGAGCACACCATCTACCTGATGGTATACCATAGCTGTAGCATAGCGTTACCACAAATACAAGCCTGTAGTAAGTACGAATGCCCATTACCCAGCCTCTGTCATAGATTTAGTTTTTGTATGTACTATTGTTTATTCTGTGGATGCAGTAAAATGCATGTAAGGGAATGGTTAGGACAGTGTTGTAATGTTGTTTAAAAATTGACGTACCAAAAATCTATTAAAGATGAAGTTTAATAAAAAATATTAGAAAAATGGTTTTGTATAATTAGTTGTTTCTTCGTCGTTTACGCATTTTACGCATTTGAGTATTATTTCCAGACTCGCCAATAGATGGCCTATTTAAACTGTGCATCAAATTTTCAATAGATGGCGCTGTTAAATAATGACGCTTACACAATAATATTCATCAACTGAATTGTAAGTTCCCGAGTTCGAATCTTATGAAACGCCGTGTCCATATTAAAATATTTCTTTATATTCATACAGTGATATTAGAAATCGTTACAAATTCCAATCGAGTAAAACAATTGTTTGTTAGTTATTTGTACTGCTCCCACGACTTTGTATATTTTTGTTATATTTAGACCAATATTAAACTCAATTATAACTAATTTTAAAAAATACACAACCAAACCACATCAGCGTTATGTTAAGGGAGAGGGTACAGACTGCAAACTTAAAAGGTCGTGAGTTCGAATCCGCCGTTCAACTTATGAACCACCCTTATCAAAAATCATTAAAAAAAATATTAATAATTATTTTTAAGCTTATGGAACTTGTTAATGGTATGTGATGAAAATGTTTAGTTTGGTAATTTTTTATTAAGAATTTCATTTTGTTTAATTTTAACCACGACGTCCAGCTCCTCAATCTTTCCAGATATCCTCACAGGATTCATTTCAGAGAATGTGCGCAGGAGTAGCATGACCTAATTCTTCTCTCTCCATTCCATCATAGGATCTCCTCTACGGTGGTGGCTCGGCTGGTCTGCAACGCTTGGTTGTCTACATACCACGCAATCGAACCAAACGGCTTGTTTCGTCGCTCATAATACGTACATGGAATAATTTGTATTGTGTTTCCATCCGATTATAAAGTGGTTGTCTTCGAGGCAAGAGTGAATTGCTTTTTGTAAAGAAAAGTCAGTGTGTTTTACAATCTTCGACAGCATCACCACTTACTTACTATCAGGTGCGATAGTAGTCAAGCACCGGCTTTAAAAAAAACACCTTCCTTACTCCTGAGTCCTGAGTCCGAATACAACTTCATAAAATATATACATATCCATCGATCACTAATAAAGTTCTTTATTAGTGATCGATGTACATATCGCATAGTATACACACGATCAGTTCAACTGATCATTCCGACCGTTGATATTTTTATTAAAACATCGGATTTTCGACATATCGATAATTAAACTTATATGTAAAACTACGATATTGATATATAATTACGATATTTATAATGAATGGAATATTTATGTTTATAAGGAGCGGAGCCGTAACTAATAATGATATCCTATATTTACACGAATAATCATTTAAAGAATTTCCCGCACAATTGCGATAAATACTTTTTAAAAATTATACATTATTTTTATAAATTATTTATAAATCTTAAAAAAATTATGTATTATTTTTCTGTTCAAACCTTTTTGTTATTAGGTACCTACAATTTCAAAAATCAAATTTCATTTGCGTTATATAAGTAAAATACTTGGACCGATGCAGATGCAAAAGTAAAAAAACCTTTTGCTAGCATCATAAACGGAGCGGAGTAACGCGCGCTTTTGCTTTACATGTATTTTCCTATAGAAAATTGAATTTTTGGTTATTTTTTAATATCTTTTGGACAAATTCAGATTTTTATTGTTTACAAACCTTGTCTGTGTTGAGCTACAAATATTGCTAAAGAAATTATGTAAATTAGCCTGCGGGTTACGGAGCAGATAGATCTTCGATCAGTATATATTTGATCGAAGAGATAGATTTCAAAACCACACATATGTATACGGAATCACGTTTTCTTGCGCCATTGGGGCTCCGCTCCAATTATTTTGTCCAAGTCGCACATGTGTGACCTTCATCCTTCATACACAGTAAACAGGCTTATCTGGCCCGTCCATATCTCCACAGTAGTAATTCTATTTATATCCTTAATGCCCATACGCATAACGTTACATTTTGATTTTAGTGGCAGAAATAAAAAATGTACATAAAACATTTCTCTATTACATTAAGATGCTTAACAAAGAATTATATTCGATGAATCGGTAACATAAGAGCTTTATATCGCGCTATTAACATTTTTACGATGATTAACTATATATACGACAAAGGCGATATGAATCATCAGGGAGTCCGTTTCTACACAGGGGAGTAGTGAGTGGTGGAGTAAGAGCTACTCTAAATCTTCTCCACTCTTGTATGACGTACATACAGATATACTGAGATGAACTAGCAACTAGGTCCAGGTCCTAATCGGACACCCACACTGATGTAGAAACTACGACTCCTCGTTTTGGGTAATTTCATTTTAACATTACATACCTTGAGGGACCATGAACCAAGAAATTCCTTAACGAAAAAGACCTAAGACCCGAAAACCTAACATCCAAAGATGTTTTACCTATAAAACATCTTTACTAACATCGTCTAACGTCGTTTAATTTCGGCAGACTTCGGCACGGTGTTTGTATGCGTGCTACTAGACGTATACGTGTATTGTAAAATAATAAAATTATTTTGAACAATAATAATCGGACACCCACACTGATGTAGAAACTACGACTCCTCGTTTTGGGTAATTTCATTTTAACACTAAATAAAAAATTTCATAACATGTAATATTATCGTATCAAAACTCCTAAACTAAAATATTAAGCTATTGCTTAGCTTTTGTCGAAGGCTTTGAGCGCGGCGACCGAACCAAGAAATTCCTTAACCCTAGAATAATCTGAGTCATTTTGACTCGCACCGCACATATTTCTTGCTATCTCTCTCTAAAGAACGCGCGGATCGTCACGATTCTTTGTGTCAACACAGTCGTCGGTAAGACGTTTTTGGGAGCGATAGCGTTGTGCAGGTAAGTGTCTCCATTTTGTAAATACGACGTACTTCAGAGTTGAAATGACTCATGATTAGTCTTTGTGTAACTTTTTGAAGTTTAGCATACAGCGGTGTTTTGAGTTATTGCCTGTTTTTATTTACTTTTTTATCTGTTTTTAGATTAAAAATGTCTTCGTCACGTCCAAGCGGTGGTCGAAATTTCACGGACGCAGAGTTGGCCAGATATCTGAACTATGATGGTGTCACTAGTGATAGCGATGGAGAAACTGAGGGGAGTGAAACTGAGGATTATTTGGAGGTTGAGGATTCTGAACAAACTGATGAAGACGACGAGCCAATGGAGGTAATATCTACCAGTTCACCCAGAATAGAATCACCTGTTACTCTCGAAGAATCTACGAGTAGCCAGAACACAGACATTTCACGTGATACATGTATTATTTACTTGCCGCAAACGGTTTTGCGTGGGAAAGACAGGCATGTTTGGTCTACGAAAAAGCCTCAATCATTGAGAACTCTTAGTTCTAATATTGTACGAATATCACGAGGTCCAACTTCTCAATGTCGCCGTGAAAATGATCCTTTGCAATGTTTTAAAATGTTTATTACTGACGAAATTATAGATGAAGTTGTACAATGGACAAATCCTGAGATTATAGTAAAACAGCAAAATTATTCAGTCATTAGAAACACCCAGAAAACAACCGATAAATGTGAAATTAGGGCATTAATTGGACTTCTTGTTTTAACCGCTGCTTTCAAAGACAATTATTTGTCAACCGATGAGTTGTTTGATGCATCTTTTTTCTGGTTCAAGATATGTTACCACGATGAGTAAAGATAGGTTTGAATTCTTGATACGATGTCTTAGATTCGATAATAGGTCTCTAAGATTATCTACCCAAAATAGGGACAGATTTGTACCTATTCAAAAAGTATGGAATCTGTTTATCGAGAAATGTAAAACAAATTATAATGTTGGAATGTATGTAACTATTGACGAACAATTACTAGCTTTTAGAGGGCGATGCCCTTTCCGCATGTACATACCCAACAAACCGGCGAAGTACGGTATAAAAATTGTAATGATTTGTGATGCCGGCACCAAATACATGGTAAATGCAACCCCCTATTTAGGAAAAGCTACCGAAACCGGAGGACTGCCTCTTGGTGAATATTTTGTGAAACAGTTAACCCAACCTTTACATGTTTCAAATAGAAACGTAACTTCAGATAATTGGTTCACGTCTATTCCGCTCGCTAAATCTCTTCTTTCTCAACCATACCAACTAACTTTAATGGGTACTTTGCGTTCGAATAAAAGAGAGATACCCAATGAATTGCAAAACTCAAGAACAAGAGCTACTGGTACTTAAATTTTTTGTTATGATGGTCCTTTAACACTATTGTCATACAAGCCCAAATCTAACAAAGTTATTCATTTATTATCATCGTGTTCTGAAGAAGGATCTGTAAATGAACTAACAAAGAAGCCAAGTATGGTAGAATTTTATAATCAGACGAAAGGTGGTGTTGACACTCTAGACCAAATGTGTTCAAATATGAGCTGTAGCCGAAAGACTAGGAGATGGCCTATGTGCCTTTTTTTATGGAATTCTTAACATTGCTTTCGTAAACAGCTACGTAATATACTGCGAAAACAAGCTCAGTGCCAAAGAAAAGCCGCTAAATAGAAAAACATTTATGCGTGAGTTGCACATGCAACTTGTTAATCCTTTCCTCGAGAAACGACTTTCTATTCCAACCCTATCAAAAAGGCTTAGAGACAATATCCAGGATTTGGTGCCTACAAATATAGGGGAAGGCAGCAGCCAACAAAAAGATGAACCTGATGCAAAAAAAAGGAAAAGATGTTCACTTTGCTCCTACAAAAAGAACCGCATGACTAAAATCAGATGTATGAAGTGCCAAAAAAACATATGCGGGGAACATAAGATAGAAATGTGTTAATTGTGCCAAATTAGGATAATTTCTCTTTTATATCGTTAATTCGTTCTTATTTTATTTTAATTAATTTTAAAAGAAGAAGGTTTTTAATTTATGTTATTCTTTTTTTTTTAATTATCAGATTCATGATTGTGATATCAAAAAAAGTATTAAGAGAGTAAAACTACTTTTTATATAAATTTTTTCTTATATATAAACATTTTTTTTATTTAATACCTACATAAACATAGCTTATACCTATATAAAATAAAAATACAGACAGAAAATTGGTTTTGATGTTCAATTTATGTACTCATTCATGTGTAGTCAAAATGACTCATGATTAGTATATACGTTTGTAAAATATGATTAGTATTCTAGGGTTAACGAAAAAGACCTAAGACCCGAAAACCTAACATCGCCTAACGTCGTTTAAGTTCGGCAGACTTCGGCACGGTGTTTGTTGCGTGCTACTAGACGTATACATGTATTGTAAAATAATAAAATTATTTTGAACAATAATATATTTTATTGCAAGAAGCAGATTCTTCAGATTTATTATAGTCGTCGTCATGCTAGCAACTTTCGTGAATTTAGAGTATTTAATAAACACAGCCTTTGTAGAAAATTGTCGTTTCTCGGAAGAACTCGTTAATTACCATAAACCTATAGTTTCAATGATAACCTACGTCTTTTGTAAGATATCGCCGTGTAGTGGCGGTTAAGATATACCCCATATCTTCCCGTGGGTGTCGTAAAAGGCAACAGAGGAAAACAGGCAGGAGATGGGCAGCAGCATCTTCCTGATAACAGCAACTGTACAAAAAAAAACTGCGGTTGCCAACCCGCTCGCCAAGCGTGGCAACTATGGCAATATACTCCCCATGAAGAATTACACAAATAGACGGCCCCCAGTCCCCGGCGGCCCCGCTATTCTTGGCTACGGTGGCGACCATGGTAACGGCGGGGCAGGGGGTGCTAAGAATCTCCGGTGGAGGTTCGGTTGCCACCTACGACGACTTGACCTGGCAACATTTAACACACGTACCCTGAGGACTGACGAGAAGATCCTGGAGCTGGAAGAAGAGATAAACAAGTTGCGCTGGAATATTATAGGATTATCCGAGGTCCGAAGAGAGGGCGAGGACACGGTGATTCTCGAATCCGGCAACTTGTTCTATCACCGGGAGGGCGACCATCTGTCCCAAGGAGGTGTTGGATTTATCGTCCACAAGTCTCTCGTTAACAATGTTTTAAAGATTGGGAGTGTATCGACGAGGTTTGCGTACCTTATACTCAGAATCACCAAACGGTATTCGCTGAAGGTCATACAGGTTTACGCGCCAACGTCGGAACATCCCGATGAGGAGGTGGAGGAAATGTATGAGGACATTTCTAGAGCCATACATTCCTCCAAAACTCACTATACGGTGTTAATGGGAGACTTCAACGCAAAACTGGGCACAAGAAAGAACGGTGAGCTGAAGGTAGGGAAATTTGGGATAGGGCAACGGAATCCAAGGGGCCAGCAGCTGGCCGACTTCATGGAGAAAGAGGGACTTTTTATGATGAACTCTTTCTTCCAGAAGCGGCCCCACAGAAAGTGGACCTGGTCGACCCCCGACGGTTCAACAAAAACCGAGATTGACTTCATTATGACGACCAGACGCCAACTGTTCAGTGATGTCTCAGTGATCGCAAGGGTGAAAACTGGCAGCGATCACCGTATGGTTAGAGGCACACTGAACCTAAACGTTAAGTTGGAGAGGTCTCGTCTAATGAAGTCAACGCTCCGTCCCCCTCGTGCTCTAATAGAGAATCCCGAATCCCTTCGGCTCGAGTTACGTAACCGCTTTCAGTGCCTAGAAGATTGCAATGCAGTGGACGATATGAATGACAAGCCCGTGGAAACTGTCCATGCGGTCGGAGCTAAGTTCTGCAAGACCCGCCGCAGAAGAACACAAAAACTCTCCGATCATACTCTTAATCTCATGGCTGTTAGACGGGAGATGAGGCTGCAATCGTTCATCAATCAACAGATTTGACAGCATACAGGCAACTGAACAGACCGATCTCCAAATGCAGGCGGCGAGACTTACGCAACTTTAATACTGTTCGTATTAAAGAAGCGATCGTGCGGAACCAGGGCTCCAAAGTCTTTGCCAGAGATCTGTCTGCCGGAAAGAGCCAACTGTCAAAGCTGAAGACTGAGTGTGGCAGCATCGTTTCCGGGACACCTGAGATTTTGAGTGAGATTGAGAGGTTCTATGGGCAGCTGTACACATCATCGTTGGAGCCACACGCAAGTGTGAGTAACGATCCAAGAGCAAGTCTTGTCCGTCAGTCTGAGCAAGATTAGAATGGCTCTCTAGCACCTTGCATTGCAGAGCAAAACTACTGAACAGATTTCTATGAAATTTTGTGTGTAGGTAGTTAGGGACCCGGGGCTACTTATAGGCTACTTTTTATCCGATTACAGAACTTCAAAAAAGGAGGGTTAAGTATTTTCCTTCCTTTAGACGTTAATTTCTATTTTATACGGTTGATGTGTTCTATGAAAATAAATAAAATATTTATAAATAAAGCCTAACATTAGTTTTAACCGTTTTCTAATAAATTGAACTACGCCGACAAACTACGATATTATTGTTGCATTCACTTTTTCAAAACAGTGCCGTCTAACGTAAATACAAAAAGTAATGACATTTTGCCTACACTAATAAATTAAATAATATAGCATAACTATATAAATAGTTATTTTTATTTAAAAATTCTAATGTACATTTTTTAGTTTTAATTATTTCATTTTAGTAGATAATAATAAATTTTATACTAACAAATTACTTCTAAAAAAGATAATAGTGACATCTGTTGAAAATTATAAATTTAACAATGTTTCTAATTTAAATTTTTAATCAATAAAAAGTTTTTAGTGTTTAGTTTTTTATCTATAAATAAACTGATAAAAATTGCAATTAGTACAAAACTCTTATTATCATTATAGTTTCAATAAAAAAATTATATGTATGATATATATATATTATAAATTCTAACATATATATCTGATAATATCTTAGAATTTATAATATCATAAATTAGTCGATTATTGAAAGTAAAATGGCGGTATTTCAAAAAAATTTGCGGTGTTTGTTGATTATATGATGATTGACCAAGTCAATGAAAAGAGATTGTTTGGCGATATTAACAACTAAACACGACATTGCTACTTCTAGATGCTATTGTTGCAAATACAAATACAAAGTCTTTATCTATATGATATTAATACCTTTAAACGAATAAATAGATCTAGCTAGGATTCGTTTTCCGAATTTCGTTTCATCCGTGTTTCGAAAATTCGTTTTATCCGTGTTTTCAGGCAATAAAAAACTGCTACAATATCATTAGTATAGGAAGGTAAATTTTGCCAGCACATTACAGGTAATAATGGCACAAATGGGATATCGGTAGATCCCGAAATTGTAGCACCCTCAGTTCGAGTCAAGATTTTATCGGTATTCCTTTTTTCCTTTTTTTGTTTCAAGTTCCTTTTCCCTTTTTATTTCGAGCCCTTTTTTAGTATTTTTAAAAAATACACATATAAGTAAATAATTGTTCTCATAATTTTTTATTTAAATAACCAGTTCAGATTTTTTTTTATTATGTCGGTAAGATCGTAAAATATTATTAATATTTTCTCGCACGAGTAAATTAACAGGTTCTTGTGAAAAGTACTATAAATATCAAAGAAAGCAAATTATAAACACGGGTTTGTAATATAAATTTCATAGTTGGTACCTATTTTATTAGTTGATATTATTGATTGATCAGTTTTAAGCGGTTGCTGCGGCCCATAGACATCTACATCTATCCTCGATTACAAATCAAAATGCAGATGCGTTGTCACCTGTGAGGACCAAGATGGAATGCCTCATTTCCAGTAAAAAGGTTCTCCGGTTCTCTACACTCACCGTACGAAACACAGCAGCATCAAGCTACAAATTCACGCTGGTATTTTGTAAGAGCGTGGTCGCTCCCCGGTCAAGCCGACCTATTCGTGCTACAACCATACCACCAATATAACTGTAGCATGGCTCTACTACGTAGGCCTTTCCTTAAGCATTCCAATTTACTGATAAAGACGCTATGATAAGAATTGCCTGCCATCTACCAAGGGTATAACAACTATATCCCCTACGAAGCTATCTAAGGGAGGCCTATGTTCAACAGTGGACCGTAACAGGCTGTAGTTACACTTAAGTTGACAAAGTAATACACTAAGTTACCACTTAGTGTATTACACTAAGCGGGGTGGAGAAGACCTGTATTAGATGAATAGTAGACATACATAGTAGATACATAGAAATAAGATTGGAAGTGCATCTTAGAAAACAGAAATGCCATCAAAAACATAACTTGTAAAAAAATCAAGTCTCGCAACTCAGTTCTTCTATCGTAAAAAGTTGTGAGGTCCATGTAAATACCACGTCGGTTAATTTATTCACTCCCTACTTTAGGGTCCTTCTGTCTTAAGTTATTCCGTAATTAGCTAACATAAAATCTTGTTGTGACCATATCAATATTAAAAATCTTTTATGTTTAAATATATAGTTTGACTATAACCAAAAAAAATAAATAAATACACTGAACTGAAAGAAGAAATAACAAAAATGTGGAAGATGAAAAAAGTTTTTATAATACCCATAGTACTTACATCAACATTACAAACTTACATCATAGTCATTTTCAATGCTAGACATATCACCGAACTCATACATTAATATACAAAAAGCATCAATCTTAAATACATGTCGCATCGTTCAAAAATTCCTGCAGGATGACAGTAACGTAGCCTATATAAACAAAATATATTACAATGACGGTTACTTGGTTTCAACCCGTAATCGCCATTTATTTACCAGCTCGTAGCTGAGAAAAAATAATAAATAATAATAATAATAATGTCCTCCAGACCGAATTCCGGCCACGGCTGCCCGCCTCAACAGAGGCTAGCCATCGGCGCAGGACAGGATTATAGTGCCCCAGTGTATGCGCAAGCACAGGTGCACTCTTTATTCCCTCGCTCTCATAATCCGATGAGACGGTAAACCGACTCGAACGGAGAGAGATCAGGCGCAGGACCAACGGCTTTACGTGCTTTCCGAGGCACGGGGGTGAGACACCGCCAACTTCCTGACTCCGGGCAACTACTGAGAATTTCTTGACGGAAAACCTCAATATTTAATTTTTTGGCCCGACCCGGGATTCGAACCCAGAACCTCATGATCAACAGTCGCACTACTACAACCACTAGACCAACGAGGCAAAATATAATCAATAAAAATATACATACCAAAATTGTTCGTCAAAATCGGTAAACAGTTTACGAAGATATCACGTAATATACCTGTTGGCGACGCGCCTATAAGAATATTTCAATTTATTAGCTAACCGATTACGAATAGCTTCTTAAAAGCAAATTATCAAGCAACAATATTCCGATAAGAAAATGCTTAGTTGAATCTTAAAGAAATATCGAATTAATGATATGAAGGTCTTGGGTTCGACTCCTAGGCCGGAATAGTTTATCGTTTTCTTAGTAATATCTCTTAATAAATTCATATAGGGAATTTTTAAGATATAAATTATGTTACCGGATTTGTTCCCCGGTTGAAATCATCTTTACAATAATGTTAATTTAAAGAAATATTAAAATAAAGTTAGAGATCAGGATTTGTTCCCCGGTCGAGATGATCGCTGTGCATAAGTAGAATTAATGGAAATTAATTGCATAAGTATTGTCTTATATGAGTTTGATATGATTTGTATGAAAACAAATGCCTATTTTCTATGATTGATTTGTGAAAACATTCACTTATATTGTTTGATAAGAAACATGATAACTGATAAGAATCTGATTAGAAATAGTTTTCGGCGTTTGAGAATTGTGTAGAATCATTTATTCACCTAGTATTGTTGATATTAGTGTATACTAAAAAGTTAAAAAGTGTATACTAAAAGTGCAAAAGTTAGTTGTTCAAATAGTGTGAGTTCATAGACGCACGCTAGCCACGTACTTAGGAGGCCAAATATGTAGAAATTTAAATATTTGCAAATTTCAGCAATTTATGTAAAATTACTTGTAAAACATTTCAGATTGATTGTACGTGTAAAAGAGGTGAATTCTGTGTTATTTTATGTGAAAATTCCTGTGAATAAGGGAAATAATGATAGTTTTGTATAAGAAATTTAAAAGTGTTTTAATAGTGAAATGTATAGAGAAAATGTAAATTAAACTATTGTATTAGTTAAGATATGTATAATTTCAAGTGGAAAACATTGTTTTAACTTTCTATGTTAAATATTTAAGAAATTCCAACTTTGAACATGTGAGTAAAATAAGCATATTTTGTTAAATAAATAAAGGGTTTTTGGTGATATGAAAATGTAATGTATATCGTAGTATAGATATTTTTTGTGCTATCTTTATAAGTAAATTGTATAAATGTATGTCTTATACAAATAAAGTTATTGAGCAAACCGTGAGAGAGTGATAGTACAAATTGATGTAATTGAGTTGCGCAAGCGCACAAATGGCGCGGCTCACTTTCGCGTTTAGCTTCGAGGTAGTTCGGTAAATTGATTTTTTTGCAAATCGTTCGGGAAAAGTGCATGACCAGCAGTCAATAAGAAGAAGAAAGAAAAAGTATAGAGAAGTGATAGGGAAAAGTAATTACTCTCTCACGGAACGGTTTGAAGATAATTGCTGTTTTATTCCCAAGGAATTCTCCCCTTAAAGTGATACAGTCCATATCGAAGAATTAAGGCGTTGGGACCGGGACGACTTCGGAAGACCCGTAATCCCCACCTGAACCTATTTTCTGAAAAGGAAGAGGTTATCGCCCTTGTGTGTTACTCCGTTGCGGAGATCACATACGTTGTTCCCGAACCCAACGTAGGCGTTGTAGGAGGCCGGATCGAGAGAAGCATCGATTCCCCCCTTCTGTTTCTTAGTTTAACGTTTGTCTGGTTCCTTTTCAATACCATAAAAACGCAGAGTAAAAAGCCAAACTACCTTTATGGATTTGGAATAAAATTAATTTAACTGATTTTTATCTCATTTAATTTTAACTAGGTTGTTTTATTCTACTCCTTTTCAGCAGATTACAAAGGAGGTGGAGACTTTTGAAGTCAGCACAAAAAAAAAACAAAAAGTGGGATCTCATACTTATCTACAAGCAGTGGAGTTGAGAAGTTATGACTCATCGCACAGCATGAGATATACGCAGTTGAAACAACTTTATCTTCGCACAGCATTTACGGACGGGAATCGAGCGCTGAGTGAGCACACCTTCTCACATGCTTCGATTCGCGGACCGTTAGGGTAAGATTTAGCAGCTCTAACCCATCACTGTTTCCCGTGTAGAAACGGATACCCGCTTTCTTTTAGTGAACATGTCTTATATATGCTACGGGAGCAAAAAATTTTAATAGTGTGAGCTAGAACATGGACTTAATGGGGTAGAAAAATTGTGAAAAATAAATCGCAACAAAAGTTAATTTTTTACAATAATATTGTGAATGATTTTGTTGTACGTTTATTAACTTTAATAATTGTGTTTAAATTATGTTTTAGATAAAAATTCTTAACTATTCTTTATTACTCATTATTTCTTCCTCTCAGTAAGTTCAAGATGTTTCTTAAATGCTATACCGTCAAAAATTATAAGATTTTGGCAGTTTCAAATAAAAATAAATATATTAAAATTTTTACAGGCTCGAAACACATTTTTTCTTTTAAGGATTTTTATTATAAAGAATATTAATTACGGAATAGTTACAGGCTTTGAGGTATTCCATTTCAGCCTTCAGATGTAACAATGTTCCTGTAGCCTTTTTTGTTTGATATTCAAAAAAGAGATCAAAAAATGTTATCTACAAATATAAATAATAGACATCAGGTGAACTGTGTGCTCGTTTGACACCCTTATTCTATAAAAAAACCTCGGTCCCAACTAGCGACATCTGGTGAGCGGAAGATTATTAGCCCTCATTATTATTATATATAAAATTTATGTCAAGATTAAAAAAAGTTATCAAAAGTCATTTATCCGGTGGAAACAAAATTAGAGCATATAACTCCTGGGTAATACCTAGCCTTCTATATACTTTTGGTGTTACAAGATGGTCTTAAACGGAACTGGATGACTTACATAGACGAGTCCGTACGTTAATGACTAGGTACGCACAGAATGCACCACCCACGATCATCTGTCATGAGGTTGTATCTTCCAAGAAAAGATGGTGGACGGGGCTTATTAAACATTAGAAACCTACACAACCGTGAAGTATACAACCTCAGAGACTATTTTATTAAAAAAAGACACATCACACATTCACAATGGCGTAGTGATTAATGACAAATCATTAAACCCGCTTAATATGTCGGCAAAGGACTGGCAGAGGCCTCATACTATGACTATAGATGAACGCAAAAAAGGTTTGGAATGACAAACAACTGCATGGTCGATTTTTTAAAGCATTGACTAATCCTTGTGTAGACATGGTTGCATCAGTACATTGGTTACAATTTGGTGACCTTTTTGCAGAAACTGAAGGTTTTATCTGTGCAATACAAGATGAAGTAATTAAAACGAACAACTACCGGAGATACATTTTGAGGGACGGCACAGTTGACGTATGTCGCGCAAGTCACCACCCTGGAGAGTTCCTCAGACATATTATTTCCGGTTGTTCACAACTATCAAATGGTGAGTATTTGCACAGACATAACCAAGTAGCTAGAATATTACACCAACAGCTTGCCATTAAATTTGGCTTTACTCAAAGGACGTTTCATATTATAAGTATGAACTAAAGCCAGTCCTTGAAAATAGAAGTGTCACGCTGTACTGGGATCGGTCAATTATCACAGACAGGTTTATAGTGGCAAATAAACCTGACATTGTGGTGATAGACCGAACTACACGCAAGGCAATAATAGTGGATATTAGTGTTCCTCATTACGAGAATCTCGTAAAAGCAGAAAATAATAAAAAAATATAATATATCGACTTGGCTCATGAGATTGTCGTTATGTGGAACGTTGATTCTACTTTTATTGTACCAATAGTTGTATCAGTCAATGGACTTATTGGTAAAAATATGGACGATTATCTGTCCAAGTTAGGTTTGGGCAAATGGCTGAAAGCATTAATTCAAAAGTGGGCCTTATTAAATACGGCTCGAATAGTAAGAAGGTTCTTATCTTTGGATGCCTAACTTCACCGATGGCTTAGAATTCCTCGCCGCGGTGGATAATAGCCGTAATAATAATATTATTTATATAGATAGTATTTATATTTATAATATTATAGTTTTGTGATAATATACGATTATGAAATAATAATATAATAATAGAGCTTGTCGAGCTTCTCGCCATCCCGGGGAGTCACTTAGGCGTGTCATCTCCGGTTGTTCGGCGCTTTCTAACTCTGAGCAAGTAACAGGCACAACCTAGTAGCCAGAATTCTACACCAGGAGCTCGCTCTGAAATACGGTATCGTGGACCAGAAATTGCCGTATTACAAGTAGTTGCCGGAAGCCGTGCTCGAAAATGACCGGACCGGGCCATCATCACAGACAGGACTATTCTTTCGAATAAGTCTGATATTGTGCTGATGGACCGGGCTCAGTCAAGGATATTTTTGGTCGATATTACCATTCCGTATAACAAGAACCTCATGAAAGCCGAAACAGATAAACAATCAAAATATCTGGACCTGGTTCACGAGGTGAACGACATGTGGGGTCGTCTGCCGACCGAAATTATTCCTGTAGTCATCTCTGCGAATAGGCTAATCCCAGTCAGCCTCTCAGGTCATCTGAGGCGACTGGGACTCCGTGACGGACCGCTCCGGGCTCAAATGCAGAAGGCGGTGCTCCTCGATACCGCCCGCATCGTCCGACGGTTTCTTTCCCTTTCCTCCTAACCCTCGGCCGTTTGGTCTCCCCCTGCCGAGGGCTTCCATCTGGTTGGGCTTTTATTTATTTATGTATTTTTGTATTTATTTTATGTTCATACTTTATAGTAAGGTAATGATGGACATAGAATATCACCGTCATCTACATCCGACCCTGATAATCTTTTAGCACTCAATTATTACTTTATTTTAGGCACTGATAAAGAATAAAAAATGTCGTTTATAAATAGTGTCGTATATTATATCTTTATCTGCATCGGGTCGCGATAATCGCTCAGAACTTAATTAGAACTTAATTCCTTGCTATTAATATAAATTTATCTTAATAGCAAGGAATTAACATAAATTATTCACATAAATTATTTATAATACTAAGTATGAATAATTTCAAATAAGTCTGAATAATTGTGCACAATATTTTTTCGCATAACGTATATTTTCATTTTAAGTACATAGCAGAAATAATAAACTTACATAAAATGCTTCTCTATTACGTTACGACGCTTAACAATGGGACCATAACAAAATTATAATCGATGAATCACTGGACTGTAACATAAGAGCTCTACATCGCGCTATTAAAATTTTTACAATGCGTGACTATATATACAAAGAACGCAATGTTTGTTATCGGGAGTCCGTTTCTACATAGGAGGGTAGTGAGTGGTGGACTAAGAGCTACTCTAATTCTTCTCCACGCTTGTGCGTCATGCACCAGGTATAGGTAATAACTGTATATGAATATAAATACTACATATGCCCACACCGGCGACCTCACTGATGTAGAAACTACGACATCTCGTTTTGTGTTTTTTATTTTCTAATAACACTAAATGAAATCTCGGTTTTGTTATTATTACAATAATTACAAACGTGATTAGCTAATTACTTAAAAAAAAAGAAACATATTTTCTAGACATCAATGAACAAAAGACGTATCGGTGGTACTATTATCTATTCTGTGGTATCGGTAAAATAAAATGCCATCAAAAACATAACTTGTAAAAAAACCAATTCTCGCAACTCAGTTCTTCTATCGTAAAAAGTTGTGAGGTCCATGTAATACCAAGTCGGTTAATTTATTCAGTCCCTACTTAAGGGTCCTTCTGTCTTAAGTTATTACGTAATTAGCTAAGATAAAAACATCTTGTTGTGACCACATCAATATTAAAAAATCTTTTATGTTTTGAATAAAACACGTGTTAACAACATTTATATCATGTTTTACGCAAATAAAGATTATTATTATCATTAAATTAAACGTTTATATTGACTGTATCATATAAGAAGGTAATTCTAATTATCCGTCGAAGTTGATCCAGAGATGATAAAAATTACGTCGCCTACTAGAAACCTTAGGCTTCGGTTAAAACTTGATGTTTTTTTTTGGCTGAAGGTAGTCGAAGCCGAAGCTAGCGACACTATTACTCACAGACTCTTGCACTATAATAAAATTCTGCGTAGATGACTATTCTCCGTTGAGCCTGGCTACCCTGGACAAAGTTCGGTCTAAAGAACATTATCATTATTATAATAATCATAATACACAATTGTAATGATAAAATATTTATTCATTAACTTAAAGTAGCGAAGCGTATAAAATGTTAAACTTATACAAAAATAATATAAGAAGGACAATGAAAGAGCTTTGGCTTACCGTGTATTGCAGAGAATCTACAATGCTGTTATTTTGTCAGCTCATCACTCGTATACTTAATTAATTATAAGTAGTATAACAGTACGCACCCATCACTGTTATATACACAAGGTTACGGAAAAAAAAACTCATACAATCCGTACATTTATTTTTTTACTTGTTTTTAGCTTTTAAATAATATCTGATATATATATATATATATATATATATATATATATATATATATATATATATATATACTATGGTTGAACTTAAGTTTAAAATTTCCATACAAGTTTCCATACTGTTACTAGAGTTGAAACGGATATCCGGTAACTATCCGGTATTCGGCCTATCCAGCCTGAAATTACTATCCGGCCGGATACCGGATAACAAACAGCTATCCTAACGGATACCGGATTTAAAAAATATCAAATTAAGTTAAGTGTACTTCATGTATGTCACTTAACAAATATAATTTAGTAATCACAATATTTTCATTTTAAAACTTACAAAATTAGTACTCGTACTGTGCTAAGGCACAGAATAAATAGTAGTACTACGTAGCTACTAGCTAAGGTCAAATTATGATGAATAAATACTAATTTCTCTGCATCGAAAGGTAACAAGCGGTTTCGTTTATCTTCATAAACAAGGCCATCTTCAGAGAAAAGACTTTCGATGTACACACTGCTGCAGGGTGATTTTTGGCAAACTTTGATAATATTGGGTATTGTGTAGCAATATCTGCCCACCAAATATGAGGGTC